ATACGCAGTAAAAAACATCAAATAATCTGCTCAAGAGTGCTTGCTTGGGTGCCCTAGCGAAACTAGGGGTCATTTCGATGAAACAGGGCGGGTGTTCTAAAGCAATGGCAGGGTTCAATACTTCCATTGCCAGCTCCCTGGGCTTCTTATTTCATGGCTAAAAAAGGGTACAATGCAGTCAAACTCCCATCTTATACAGAGCAATGATGTAATCTGAATGGGAAATTGATTTATTATGTACATATAGTATCCTATAGAAAGGAAAGAGATCAGTGAAATCGTATCTAGCCCTGGAAGCTTCATCTGCATTGCGAGGCCCCGGATCGGTTTGTGTCATGATGCATGACGCCGTTTACATCAATATCGAATGTCCATCTCCAGGCTAGGTGCATGCCTAGCACGGAGCACTATGCAATACCAATTCTAGGGAGAAACAGGTGGTGGGCTGCTTCAGGATCGGCCGGAACCCCTGGAGCACCGCTTATCCACCTATGCACCCTGAGGGTCCGTCGCCGGACTGTCTAACGCTCCTCTCCCAGGCCAAGTCAGCAAGCTGGCCCAAACTTAAACAACCACCGCGAATCCCACGCCGCCATGAAGTCGCTTGCACCATCGTGAGCACTGAGTATGATTGGGACAGTAAGGCGAAAACCATTGCCATGAACGCGTTATCCACTGCGGCCAGAGGTATGTATTAAAACTGGATATCGCGGCGCATCCATCTCCCTGCTAACGTCACCTCGAAAAGCCGACACGGCCAACGAAGCATCATGGTCCAACATACCCACGAACCTGCTCCTGGCCGAGCTCCAGAGGCGTAATGACCAGACCAACGGTGGCGCCCAAGCGCAGAAACCAGAATGTGGTTCCCGAGATAGGGGCTGGTATGATATGCCAGCACATGTGTTTGCCCTGTTCCTTATCTTGATCGTCAGCACCTTCAGTGAGATAACCCCTTCCTTTCCCAAATCTTGAACTCTTCGACATGACGGCGATGCTAATGGTTGATCTCGCTGTTTTAGGCTGTGGATTTCCCATCATATCGAGACGGACGGCCAGCGGAGGTCGGCGAAAGAGCATCATATTTTACTGTCAGCATATCGGAACCGGAGTTTTGCTTGCGACGGCATTCGTGCATCTACTTCCCATGGCTTTCGATTCCTTAACCGATCCTTGTTTACCAGACTTCTTCATAAAGGGCTACAGACCGTTGCCAGGATTCATCTCCCTGGTAGCTGCTATTTTGGTTGTTGGCGTGGAGTCTTACCTCACTGCACGCGGCGCAGGCCACTCACACTCCCACCACGAGTACTGGGAGGAGGGTGAGGAGGGGGCACAGGGGCCGCAAATTCAGCTACAAGAAACCACCGGACTATCGAGGAGCAGAGCTGGGAGCCATCGTCCAGGGAACCTATCGCTGGGTGATAGCGAAGCACAAGGCCTTGTGGCTGGGGTATCTCCGCTCCCGGAGTCTACGCCAACAGGACAGAATGGCAATGCTGGGAAGCGCAAACCGAATGTAGTGGACGATTCAAACGATGAGGATTCTGACTTGGATCTGGATATGGATGAACTTGATCCTGCGCCAATCGGCGAACGCCAGAACGGTCAATATGCGTCGCTCAATGGAGCTAGATCATCGGCACAGGACGATCTCATGACTCCGAACCCTACGGCACCTATGACAGCAGAAGAGCAACACCGACAGGTCCTGCAATGTCTGCTTCTCGAGGCTGGCATCCTCTTTCACAGTGTTTTCATAGGAATGGCCGTCTCAGTTGCCACCGGCCCTGCCTTCGTGGTCTTCTTGGTCGCTATCAGCTTCCACCAATGCTTCGAGGGACTCGCTCTTGGCAGCCGTATCGCTGCTATCCAATTCCCGAAGAGATCTATTCGACCTTGGTTGATGGTACTAGCATACGGCCTCACAACACCCATCGGTCAAGCAATTGGACTGATTGTTCACAAACTCTATGATCCTCAAAGCATGGCCGGCTTGCTCGTTGTAGGCTTTATGAATGCCATCTCGTCGGGATTACTGCTCTATGCTGGCCTGGTTCAACTGTTAGCAGAGGATTTCTTGACCGAGAAGAGCTACAAGGTTCTCAAGGGAAGCAAGCGCTTGCGAGCATATCTGGCCGTATGTTGCGGAGCTTTGATGATGGCCATAGTAGGCGCATTTGCATAGACAACGGATATAGACATGGCGTTTAAAATTCGAGGATAATGGGAATGGTTATTTGGACTGTAATGATAAGCGACCTTGTGGAATTGAATGTGGCTTTTACCTCCTCCCCCTACCCAACCTACTATCATTGCCGGACTGGCCCAGCTCGTCTCCGTCCTGCCCCTGTCAACCTCATGCCAACGAGCTTCGGATAGTTTAAGAGTCCGTCCGAGGGAGCAGGGGTGGTCAGAAGAGGTAATGGAGGACGTTTCCGGAGCCTAGACCGAGCTCTGCCCACACGGAACGACAAATCGGCGCAACTGTCCCCATTGTTATCGGACCACTGCATCGCATCATCGAGAGATGGCCGCCCACCCACAAGCTGTTCCACCCTATCAGGATCTCGCCTCGCGTATGCAGCTCCCGTGCCGATGACCTGGTTCTTCGTGGGGCCGATGCCAGTCGGTACATTCGTGGCAGACTCACAGGCTTGTTTCCAGCAGGGCCTGGCCAATCGTGCTTTGCCATTTAATCAGCACGCTCGTCCCATAATCACCCCATTCTCTTCCTCACAAATCGCCGATTGAGACTTGCATATGAAAGGCTCTAGGGCTGCACGCTGCTTCTTACTCTTCTAGGACACCTCTTTCCTTGGTCTGACATGGCGTCGCTCAAGTTTGTCGCCTTCATCATCCTCCAGACGATAGCATTTTCTATCTTTCTTAGATCCCCCTACATGATGACAACCGCTTCACCCTCCAAGAAATGGGCTGATGGGCCAATGGCTCTCGTCACCACGCCCCAGTATGAGACCAAGAAGGTGAGGGCAGCCATGTCTGTGTGGAACCTGTAGCAGCATATTCCCATTCACAAATACACACCCATGCGTACGCATGTAGATGCCTTATAGATATATGTGAACACACGTCTATTAAGTCTGTTGGTAATCGGCTTACTGACGAATCGGGCGGTTTAGACTGACATCTTCACCGTGGGGGCCACCCATATGTGTCTGCTGCACAACGCCATCATCCGCGGCTTCAACACAATCTACCTCCAGGCCCCCCATATTCAAGAAGCAGACAAGGCAGACTTTATCGGCTACTCCCTCACATGGTTCCGGTTTGTCAAGTCTCACCATGACGATGAAGAGTTGAATCTTTTCCCCAAGATGGAGGAGGTTCTGGGTGACAAGACGATATGGACTGAAACTCATGAGGAGCACGGTATGTCCTCCGCCCCTGTTACTCCCTCTACTATTACCACACATCTGCCAATAGCCGCAAGCATCACTATTCCCTACTAACAACACCTCGCAGAGTCCTTCCTAGGTGGTCTCGGAGAGTTCTACAAGTACCTAAGCGAACTACCCTCACCCTCTGATCTCTCCGACAAGGAACTCATCCGCATCATGGACTCGTTCCGCGACGACTTCGAGGGCCACTTCCACAGCGAGATCGCCACCATCGCCGCCATGGCGTCGCACCCCAAGGCGCCCGCCGAGGGCTCCGAGGAGGCCACCGCCGCCGGCCTCATCTTCAAGACGTGGGGGAAAGCGACCGTCACCAAGGCGGGAACCTGGGACGTCGTCCCCTTCTTCCTGCTGAACCTGGACCGCACCGTCGAGGACGGCATGTGGGCCAACTGGCCGCCCATGCCGGCTCCCATCAAGTGGGGGCTGATCAACCTGGCGGGTTCCTGGTACGGGAGCTGGTGGAAGTTTGCCAGCTGCGACTCGCAGGGGCAACCGCGGGAGCTGTATGCCCTGGGGGCTGGCTCTTCTGGCGAGGCGCCGAAGTCTGAGCTGTGAGGTTTTGTCGAGGCTTGGCGGCCTTTGATGTCGGAATGCAAGTTGATAATTATGAATCTCTGCGTAGGATAAGAGGATATTCTGTAATTTATGATAGCACGTTTTCAATTTTACTTTACTCAACGAACGCTGTAAAGTCTTGGGCTACGGTCCATCGCCCTCTTCATGACACAAGACATGAGTATGGCCTTCTCTGCACTTGTCAGCTTGCTTGCTTAAACAAAACCAACCGCGGCACAATCGAGCGAGATCTCTTCTGTGTTGTCTCAGTAGTCGTCATTAGACATGCCGTATTAACAACTAGGTAGACTAGGGAATATTGAGAACCTCTTCTCTCCGTCCCCCACACTGGGTCTAAAAAAATTGAGGCAGACGAGGGAGGTGTAAGCGACTGTCAGTATCCATGTAGGACGCACCAGGAGGAGTAGGAAAGAATGTGACGAGGAAAATTCCTCCAGGGGCAGGGTTAGATATGACAATTACACAGTGCGACGTTCTCTGCAATGGCTACATTCACAAACTGGGATGATATCCCGAGTGAAGGAAGGAAGTTTGAGTGAAACAAATCACCGTGATAAACGAAATCACACCAGCTTGGGGTAATGGCGGTCAGAAAAACCTGGTTTCTTCTTCCTGACTCTCGTTTGGAGCAAGCAAGCATTGTTGGAGGTGAGACATGTTTCTGGAATGCAAGTGAATCAACTCACTTGACCCGTGTGGCAAGACGTCTTTCTGTTTGTTCGTCACAGCCACTCGCCAGTTGCTAGTGCATCATCCACTCGAGATGATGCTCATCACTCTGGGTCACTTTGTTGGGGGGTAGAGCTACTTGGTCAAACTATTTTTGCCTCGCAGTAGACATCTTCTTTTCCCATCTTGTCTCTTTACAACCCAGCCAGTATCTTGAAATCCACGCCATCGCGGTTAAGATCAACCGTTGCTGCCGCCTCCACTCCACGCACGAAGCAGATCGCCGACTCAACCTACAACGCGCAGATCGACCGATCCAATCAAGTGCTCAAAATGGGCTGCTTTCATTCCAAAACGAGAAATAGGCCAGAGGACTCTGCACTAGCACCGCGACTCTCTGAGCCTAACTACCAGCAGTTAGCCCTCCCGCCAAACTCCATCGAACGCCAGTGACACTCTCTCCAGCCCGCTAACACTCAAAGCTCCAGGACCGCCGCCTCGAACGAAACCTCTGGCCAAACCCACACGGCAGGGGGCACGGATTTCGCCATGCAGCAGGACGTGGCTCCTCCTCCCGCTGCATCTCAGGACATCGGGGTCGCAGTGGCGCCGCCGCCAGAGAATCGGAAGGCCCCCTCGGAACGATCCATATCGCCCACGAGTAATGCTGGCGGGGCTTCTGTGCTACCTCAGGTATACCGCGAGACGGCACCTCATGATTTCGCCCGCTCATGATAGAAACAAAAAAGCTCCAGACTTCTAACCACAGCAAGAATTAGCCATCGGCGGACGTTGCTGCCGCCGAACCCGGCCCCGGTGCGAGTTCGAGTTCCACGGCGCCAGAAACCAAGGGAGATGAGCAGAGGGGCTCCCACAAGTCCAGTTCGAGTTCGAGCTCAAGCTCCAGTTCAAGTTCCAGTTCAAGTTCTAGCCGCGGCTCTAATCCAGGGTCGAAACGAGCACGTTTGGGGTTGGAGGTCTAGTAAGCGCTCGTTTGTTTCAAAGCTAGGAGCAAGATTTTCTGTTTATCCATTCTATGCATTTTAATCATTATGATTTTCGATTTTTACTTTTATTTCAATAATTGGTTTGGTCTGGCCGGTTGTAGACTTTACAGGCTCACACGAGGTGATGGACAGACAGATATTCTTTATTCAAGATAATGGATTGTTTGGCCCCGCGCTGTAAGAGAAGAACTGGAATGTGATATTCTCATGTCTCCTTTAATTATCCAAGACAAGCATGGAGCCCATCCATCAATCCATCTTCCGAATCTTGATTGTTTCATGTTCGTCCAAATTGCAACAAACTCGAACTTGCTCAAATACTGCCTTCATATGGGACCTTTTGCATGCATGACATGAACATGGCACTAACATGACATGGAACAAGGATCGAATATGCAGCCCATCACCTGCGCGTCTATTTACTCGTAAACTAGTGGGAGCACTGCAGCCTGCGTCAGTTTAAGGTTCTCTCTTCTAACTGGCCACCGCCAACGGCGCAAAAGAGAAAAAGATCAGCTGCTGTCTCGTGTTCTTCGTGCTCCCACACTCTCCACATCTGCACAGCTCGTCGGGTCTTTGGCTGGGCTGAAAGAACATCCTCGTTCAGCCCCGTCCAGGATAAGGAAAACTTGCTCAAATGCTCTCAAGCCCCCCCAACGCCAACACGCCCGACTCGTAAAATTTCTCTCGTCACTATATGCTCAGAACCTACCCGCATCCTGGTCACTTACGGTAGAGAATACCTTATGCGGATGAATCAAGGTAGGCCTGCCGCGGTTAACCTTGATTTGGCTGATACCAGGGAGGGTCTCTCCCTTCACTGGTGTCCACCCGAGACAACAAACAGAACATGCTCACGGCCTCGTGTAAACACATGATAAAATTCATTATCCCTCTTTTTTTCATTCCCCGCGTCCCCTGTCGCGGGTCTCATTGATAAATACTTGTTGTTTTGTCTTTCTCTGCCTCCCCTCTGCCTAGCCGACCTCAACCTTCTCACCACAACACCCAAACTTCAACCCCTCCCCGAGCCGTAGTCAATCAGATATCATTTTTAGAATGGATCACAGCGGCCACACCGGAATGGACATGCCGTCCATCACCAGCACCATCGCCGACATGACCATGGGCGCAACCGCCACCGTCATGAACATGGCCACCTCAACCGCCACGGACAGCAGCACGACCATGGACCACTCCAGCATGTCCGGCGACGACAGCATGAGCATGGGCGGCTGCAAGATCAACATGATGCTCAACTACTACACCATCGACGCCTGCTTCATCAGCGAGGACTGGAAGATCACCTCCCAGGGCATGTTCGCCGGCTCCTGCATCGGCGTCGCCTGCCTCGCCGTCTTCCTCGAGTTCCTCCGCCGCGCCGTCAAGGAGTACGACCGACTGCTCGTCAAGCAGCACCTCGCCAGGCACGAGGCCGCCAGCGCCAGCTCCGGGTCCAAGGACAGCGCGGCCCCCGCCATCCCCCCGTTCAGGCCCAACTTCTGGCAGCAGGGCGTCCGGGCCGTCCTGCACACTGCTCAGTTTACTGTTGCCTACTTCATCATGCTTCTTGGTATGTTTTTTGTCCCCCACTTTGTGATTTTGGTAGATTGGGCATGTTACTAACTGGGATTATTAGCCATGTACTACAACGTGTATGCGACCCTCCCATCAGTTGTTCATGACACCGCAGATACTAATCAACTCACCACTATAGATACATCCTCGTATCCATCTTCCTCGGCATCCTCGTCGGAAGCTACTTCTTCCAATACGAGACTCTCGACTTTGCGTGAGCTCCCCCTCTTCAAGACAAATCTTTCCAGAAACCAGACCGGCTCTAATATAAGTCAATATTTCAGTCAACAAAATGGGGCCCGAGAGCCCACCGTATGCTGCGGATAGAGCAGCAAAGGATCGCACACTAGGACGGTTCCTGAATGAGAAGACTTCGTGATTTTAGTTTATCCTTGGAGGATGTCATCCCAAATACCCTTATCGATTGTTGTTTATCCAAACCTTGCCCTTGCGGCAAGGCATAGTAATAGGTTTCGCACTTGACGACCCAACAAACAGGTTCAGAATTTAGAAAAAAAAAGAAAAGTTTTAAAATGACACTTCCCAAATCACAGCGACGAGATGAATATACAAAAGATGAATTCGAAACATTCCTGACCACGGAGCTAAAAACATATAAAGGCTGAATGATAAAAATAAGAAAATGAGGTTTAGGGTAGGCCCAAAGCAGAAGGTTCCAAACAAGACCATATATCATCAATCAATCATAACCAATAATTCCTAAGTGTACATCTGAAGAGAATAGATGAGAGAAAAACAACATCCAAAAGTATATACGTCGTAGAATGAGGGTCATAGAGAGGACCTAGATTAGCAGTGACCTGTGGCCAAGTATCCTCAGGCACTTAGACACATCCCAGCTTTCGTCAATCTGCTCCCTACAAGCCCAGACCTTCTCCATGATCTCCGTGGCTTCCTTAACCGTCCCGAAGACTTGAAGTGCACCCAGGCGGTGGGACATGAGTCGGAACTTCTCCTCGTCTTCAGGAGGTGCCAAACAGCCGGCCAGACAGTAGGGCCAGACTAGGTTCCTAAGGCAGGCGCCTCTTGGAAGCGAGGTCAGACATGTTGTGATGTGCACAACATGAGTTCGAATTTCAGGGTGATTTGGTTGCCACCCAAACACTACGGTGTAGAGATAGACGAGTGTGGCACGAAGCCAAACCGCGTTGTGGCTGGCGATGACAGGGTTGGTGCTGCCATCCCCGTTTGAGGCCGTTCCTCTGAGTTCTTCCAGAGGGTCGGCCACGATCATTGAGAACGCGGCCTCTCCGGTTATGCCGGCCATGTCCTTGTCGAGATTCTGGAGGCTGGCTTGCATAGCATCAGACAAAACTTTTCCGCGGCTGAGAAGGTCATTGACAGAGAAGGTCCCAGCACTCAGCTGCTCCTTCTTCCAAGCATCCAGGGAGGAGACGTCGCCAATCATCTGAACTATCCAGTTATGGAGCCCGATGAACTCGTCCATGAATAGCGGACCGGCCGTCTGTGCATTTTCACGGCATGCTTTCGAAAAGCAACCTGGAATGATATTCTCTTGGTAGGTTCGAAGACGGGGGTGTCTCTCGAGTGTAATACTTGCCATCACATCCATGTGGAGTAGATTGGCAGTGAAGAATCGGAGGGCGGCCTGGTTCGTGCTCCATGGTCGGCGGATCCCCATCGATGGCGGTGGCCAACGTGGCGTGTAGAATCCGTGTAGAACCTCGGTCCACTTGGTCGGATCGGGCAGGATCTGGAAGAAGAGGGCAATGGCGGCGTCGAGGTGCATCTTCCAGTGATCCTCGTTGGCTGTGGCTACTTCAAAGACAACCATCTGGATGATGCTCTGCATCACCAGGAGCCTCTCGAAAACGTCAGTATTCTGGCGGCACGCCAGGACCTCCTTCTGCAGTTCTTTGAGACCCTTTTCCAGTTGTGATTGTAGCTTGTGTGCCATGCGGTCAGTACACTCGACATGTGACACATCTCCATTGGCGAGAACGACACCGAAGAAGTAAGAGGCCAGCGAGATGGCTGTGTAGTAGACGGATTTGTTGCTTTGGAGGATATCCAAAACCCATCCGCGTCCCCCGCTAAGGACGGGAGGGCGATACCATGGGAAGAGGTATGGGAAGACGTAGTCGAGGTAGATCATGATGAAGTGGACGTCAATATCGGGACCGCCGTCTTCTTGGGCAAACTGACGGTCAAAGATCTTGCTGGTCCATGGGATTTCAGGTGGTGATGCGCCACTGGTATGGCTAGAAGGCGGTGTAAGGCTATGGTCGTGGCCCGAGGAATGTGACCTGGGGGGAGACTCTGAAGCTCCGCGGCCGAAATTGAAGGGATTGGAGCTCATCCGCTCACCAAGGTTGCTGTGTGAAACATGCTCACGAAGTGTGTTCTTTGGTTCGTGGCGCATGCTGTTGGTGCCGGCCTCAAGCAGCTCCATGTACTTGCGGTCTCGTCGCTGGCTGGCTTGCTTCTTGACCTGGGCCTTGATTCTGTCGGCCATCTCCTTCTGCTTCGGACCGCCGTCCATCCACGACGGCTTCTCCTCATCGAAGTAACAGGTGATCTCCAGCGCCTGGCAGCCAGCGCAGATGGGGCGCTCTTCGTCGCACTTCTTGCGGCGCAGGCGGCAGGTCCAGCAGCCGGCGTTGGATCGCACCTTGGCGGACATGAGGTTGCGGAACATAGACATGATGGCGGGTGATAGTAAGGCGCGCGGATGTGTTGTGCGACTCACTTGCTTGCTGGAAGGTGTCCTACTGGCAGAGAACCGAATGGCGCCGGGAAGCGTCAAATTTAAGTTTCCAAGCCCAACCTCAGGAGACTATGAAGCTGGGACACCATGCGCTCCTTCGCGACTGGGATTGATGCAGGCTTGGAGTTGCACAGAGTCATGGGGGTGGGGAGGCAGCTTCTGGTCTAGGGTGGCCCCCCGGCCGCTGGGTCATTTGTCAGCGCAGGTTTGCTCTTGCCTTCCAATCGCTGTCCGCCGCGGAAGGCGCTATACGCGTTTGCTTTCCAGCTGCCGGCTGCACTCTAAAATTACAGCCTGCTGGGGATTCTGAGAGTGTCAATCGCAATGACGGGACCCTTGCCTCATCAGGTCACCCAGAGCGCCCCCCTGAACAGAAGCCGTTAGCATGTTAAGGCTGGAGGCACGATGGATCTCACTTCTCCGGACTCCGGACTCCGAGGGATTGGCTCTGTGACGGGTTGGCCGTCGGTATATCCCAGTATCGCCGCGTGCCCACCCGCCGGTACGTGTCGCCCTACGCTCATTTGGTAATCCTGCCAACTGCCGAAACCATGCAACAACCCGGGATCCTTGCTCCGGTGACATCTGTATCCATACGATGGAGGCATCAGCCAGGAATAGATTGAAACAGCCCCTTCGGGCCTACGCCTACTTCAGGAATTCTGCCCATATAGGGCAGAAGTCGATTCCTAGCACGGCAGATTGGATCCATGTGGTGGCCCTAGCATCTTGGCACCTGCGGAGTACCGCTCCCCTAGGGCTTCCCTATGGCCTGAACGGCCTAGCCCCAATATACAAAGAGATGACAGATTCCTACGCGCAGGGATACTGGCACATCAAAGCCAGGACCTCCAGTCGGGAGCCCCGAGAAACATCAGACAATCCTAGGCACGGCAATGGGCTCGCTAAATCGTAGCGATATAAGGCCGAGCACTTGATTCATGTTCGCGTGGTTGATCATGCACGATTGTGGAAACGGGGACTCAGATTCCCTGTCAAATATCTGTTATTATTATCATCCCCCTGCTTTTTCCGTCCCAATAGTATCCAGGACTCACGATCCTCTTGGACTGATAGCCTGATTCCCAAACAGCAAATACATAAGAAAAGAAGCCTTCCTGGCCATTCTGGTTATTACGATCCTCCACAATGGAACCCACATGAAACAATTAACCAACCACAAAGCAGACCAAACTCAACAAAACAGACAACCCTCATCAGAACTTTCGACGCAGAGGCGACCCACCTCCCTTGAGCAACGTCTGCCTCTTCTCCAGCAGGTTGAGGTCCCACCAGCCCTCAATCCTCTCCATGATTGTCTTTCTCTTAGCGTGAATGAGTTCTAAGAATGGACTCTTGGGCGGAGGGGTAGGTGGACCGTCCTGCGCAGCAGGGATCGGTGGAGGAACAATGATTTGCGGCAGCTCCTTGACGGCTCTCGGAGGTCGCTCGCGAGGCCGAATCAACTCGCGTTCATCGGCCGTGGAGTCCCGGGAGGGAGGCGAGGAGCGAGATTGTGGCGGAGGGGCTGCTGCCACGTAAAGCTTGAGCCCGTTCTCATCCTCTGAGGAGCAGTACCCAGACTCGAAGCTCCTCTCTCGCCTTGCCATCGCCATCGTGCCTAGGCTCTGGCCACCCCTTAGCCGTGCTGGCTGAGGGGCGGCCAGCACTGGCACTACACTCCCAAATTGGTCCCCACGGCTGGACCCTCATTGCTCGACGTCCTTGGGGGCGGCCGCCGTGCTGGGCTTCAGGCGGCGCCAGAGGCAGATGGAGGTGATGGCCGAGAAGGCGAATAGGATGCATAGCGCGATGCTGAGACCCCACACGGCCTTGACCTCGTAGCAGGCCGTCTTGTCAGGGTCGACCCAGGTGAAGACGTTGCTGTTTGCATTCTTAGCGTTGGTGTACACCGACGTGATAAAGTTGGCCGTGTTGCCGTTGTCGCTGAACTCGTGGCACTTGAGGTAGCTGACGGGCTTGCCGACGAGGACGGCAACGACAATGACCATGATCAGGACCAGGGCGTCGGCACCCGTGGCGATGAGCATGGGGAGCATGTAGTCCCAGTAGAGAATGTAGTTGATCGCGATGTAGATGGCTGCCAAGCATGCCTGTGTTACCACCCATGTTAGTTGATGCTGGAATTACGCCGAAGTGCCGCACCGAAGATCTTTTCTTCACTTACCACAACCAGTGTGCCGACAAGAGCCGATGGAGCATGGTAGCCAGCATTAACGGCCTCGCTGATGAAATTGGCAGCGAGCCCGATGATGGTGAGGAGCGAGATACCCTGCATGACTCGCATGGCCGAGTAGGTGTAGCCCAAGGCGCCGAGAGCTGGATGGGCAGTCATCTTGGCAATAGAATCAGGGGTGATCAACGAAAGTTTCGGTCGTGAAGGCTGGTTAGCCGTGGAAAGGGGGAACTTCTTAGAGTAGAAGGGGACAGTGGCCGCGGGCGAGGCAACCGGGGAAGGAATCTTGTCAAAGGGATCCGCCTAGAAGAGGCGAACGGGGGATGAAAGATAAATGAGATATGGAGAGACAGCAGAGAAACACGGCAAAAGGACCAGCGCTTTTGTCGTGAGTGTTAGGACGGGCGTTATGTTATCGTAAAAGTAGAGTGAACCGGCCCAATGCTGAGTGACACACAGAGAAGACAGGACAAAGGGAATACCCAAGGAAATAAAGGAAAAAGGAAAAGAGATAGTAGGAAAGATCTCGTTGTTGGTTGTGATGCTTGATGGGAAAAAAGAAGTCCTCAGTTGGTGAGGATGTCGATCTGTCTTTATACGCGCCTTGTCATACCAGACACGCAAGCAAGTCCTAGAGCCTTTCGCACATGGCGTCTGTAATTCTGTCTTATCGCAGCCACTGCTGATGTTTTCCAAATACAGAACAGTTCAACTTGGAATACGCATAGCTAGTAGCCGCCCAGCCGGGACAGGTTTCAAGCGATATCCCGTAAGAACCAATCCGCGGGCCTGCAGCATTGGGAGCTTCACTCTAGATGGTAAAGCTCCGAAGGTTGTGCACGTCAACGTCAAGGCAACTAGGTTCCGGTGTTTCGGAAAATAGCTTGGGACGCCATCGTTTGTTGTGGCAGCCGCTGGCTAAGGCCAATAAGACCGATGAAGCTGGATGGGCGCTTGGAAAGGTGCATAAGTCTGACCCATTCGAGCGATTGCTCTCACGCATGGAAAAGGCCGCCCACAATTTACACATCAAAGTTAAGCGCGCCCGGCCTCCCGTCCCCACCAGGCGCTGGCCAATGGAAGGCTGCTGTGGTAGTTTCGCTTGGACAGTAAAAGTGGTTCCTGGTCTGTAAGTGGATCCGGCTGCAACCCCAATAGCCGCGCTGATGGAGCTCCTTCTCTCCCAATGGCGCATTGTACCTGCAGTCGGCGTTTCAGGACCTCAACATGGACGGCAGCTCTTCCAAGTGGCTGCGAAGGGCCTAGTCAGCGAGATGCTACGCGGCCAGTCTGCTCGATTTCGATTTGGTACGATCCCTGCAAGCCACGCTTGTTCAGCTTCTGACTCTCGTATTGAAGGGCATCCCTGACGGACTACGGAGCATCTGCAGGCCACTCACTGCCTGACCCATAGGTGCCATTGGTTCACAGCAGCCATGGTGAAATGGAATGAAAGACGGGCGTTCGCTAGTCAAGGCACGGCTGCAGTTCCGCCCGGCCCATCGGCCCAGAGTTTAGGTCCTGGTGATCGAAGAGCCTGCTCAATTCATGTCCGCAAGCCTGTTTTCTTTGTTTCAAGACCTAAAGACACTGATCTGTAGGCGATGCAATATGCCGAATTGAGTCACTCGGGTGGTGACTGAAGTATCTGCAATAAACTTGTGTAGGGATATGCGACACCACAGAGATAGGTAAGGTTCATATGTTTTGTGCGCCGATACGCCTATCTAAGAATCATTACATCAAATATGCTCCCCTGCTACCGCCGGTTGTCAGCATTCTAACTCTGCCGAGGGCCGTAGGTATGCCATCTTCCATATACTATTATGCACTCGAAGTGGAGGCTAAATGTTCACCCATCTCAGGCTCAGCCGAGCAAATCACCAGAGGCAGAGCCAGTGTTGGCTGGAGCACCTCCTATTGAGCTAGCTGGGGCACCCCAGATGCCGGCGCTGCTCTTCTCCTTTGCCAGCTGGCCCATTGCCGGACCCGGGGCTGCCGTCTGTTCCTTCTTGATACCGGCACTAGCCTTGCCCCATAATGCACCAAAGGCGTCACCACCCGCGGGAGCAGCAGGCTTCGCAGCGGAGCTAACAACTGGCTTCATGTTGGCCATGGTGGTTGGGGCGTTGTTACTGTTGTTAGACATCGACGAAAAGCTGGAGAAGTTGGATGTCTGAGTTGGTTGACCGCTTTGGGCACTGACTGTACCGAAATAGTTGGGCCCCGAGGGCTGGTACCCAGCAGGCTTTGGCTGAATTGCTTGGGTCGGAGCAGCGGCAGGTGGAGCACTGAACGCAGAGTAGTTGACCCCAGGGGTGCCAGAGTTACTAGGCGCAGGTGATATGGAGGACTTGCTGACCATCTGGTTGATGTTGAATTGCTGTGGAGCGGACTGGGGTTGTGGTGCAGCAAACTGGGCCGTGGTAGAGGCCGTCGAGGTCACGGCCGGCTGTAAAGGCTGGGCGAACGCAGCTGGCTTGGTCTGCTGAACAGCCGGAGCAGCGGGTGCGGCCGACTGGAAATCATCAAATTCATCGTCGTCATTTTGGGCAGGTGCAGCGGCCGAACTTGGACCAGCCAGGGCCGAGAAGCCCGAGTTCGTTGGTGCCGGTGCTGACTGCGCCGGTTCGTCAAAGGAGAACAGATCGACCTCGGGCTGCTTCTTGGGTGGTTCGGGTGTCGGTTCAGGCTTCTTTGCGCTTGCCCGCTCTTGCTTGGCGGGCTTTGCCGGTCGGTC